ACTTTGTTCTGTTTCCCTGTCCAGAGATTGTCTTTTAATTTTCTCTCCCAGCTCACAGGTCACACAACTTTGCAGGCAAGAGACGTTGAACAGAAGTGAGAGAAGACTCACTAACCGCCCTCTACTTTCCACCAAATTACCAAATGGCCCTACAACTTTATTAATTTTTTAATTTTGGTCCCTGCGACTGTGACTCACAGTCATGGTGCTACACGACATTGCCCATATTTTTGTTTTACATGCTTAATTAATTAGGTACTCGGTTATACTTATTTCCACCTCCATTCATTGTCTAAATTAAGAAGCGCGGCTTACAATTTAGGAAACTATGTTATAAATTTTGAGTTGTATATAAATTTTTTTTTATATTTTCCCATGTAATAATTTATAAAATTTAATTAAATTATTAACATATAAAGCATATATTGCTAAATATTTACGAGGTTAGTTATCAATATAAAGATAATATATTGTTATTTTAAGTATTTTGAATCAAAAAAATTAGATTAATTTATAATATTTATTTTTTATTATTGTTGTACTTTTTTGCCATTTAATTTTTGTGGGTAGTATTATAACATCAGTAAAAAAAAAATCACTTACAATTTATGCTGATAATAATTCTAATGGTAATATTTTTATAATTTTTTTTTAAAATTTATTCTTGTAATAATGTTTAAGATAAATTATTAAACTATTCTTTAAATTTTAGTTGTTGTGGTCTTTAATGCTTTTTTTATTATAATTTAATTTTTAGTATTTATTTTAAATTTTTTATTTTCATCTATTTTCAAAAAAATAAAATAATTGAGTAACTTTTGGAGACAAATTAAAAAATAACTCATGTTTGTACAAAATGAGTTGTTTTTTTTTTTTTAAAAAAATGATTTTTAATTATTTCAAAATTTAGAATTAACTATTTTAAAAAAAATTTAAATGTAACTTTTTCATTAGAAAATTTAATTTTAAAAACGTTGGAAAAACATTAAAAAGTAAATTATAAAAATCTTTATTTGTTAATTTATTATAATCATTGAGTGCACAAACAATAACTCACCCACACGCCAGTTAATATCCATAAATCACTCATGAATCACATTTCAATATAAATTTCACCATTGTTTTCTATGCACTAATTAAACGTTTACATAAATATCAAAAAATAATAAACTATTGAATCTTCATTATTATTTATTTATATTTATGTAAAATTATTTAAACAATAAATAATATATAATAAGATTCCAATTAAAAATCTCAAAAATTCAAAAGATATATATAACTAAAACACATCCTTATATGATTTTTTAAAAAAAAAAAAAATTACTTTTGGGTAATAATAAAAAGAGCCAGAGAGATAATAAGAAAGAATAGTTCCCTTTGGCCTATTTATATGTCACCTACCTCATTTTTTTTATAAGGGATGAAAAGAGTAATTTGCTATGGTCCAATTGACATGGAATACAATAACTAGAAATATATTTGGCAATTGGGTCGTAAACCATATTCCTTCACTATCAAATTCATATCGATATACATATATATATGTAATAGAAATGTTAAAATATTTCTGGGTACTTGCTTTAAAATGTTTCTTTTACTTATTTTGATTACCAATAGGTGAAATGTGATGGGGGCACATGCACGAAAATTAATCTGGCATGCATGCATGGGTTACGAATTATAGTTTTTCTTTTTTGCTTATATGTATATATTGTTGATATAATGAATTAGAACTACAATCATGCTCGATCCACATGAGGACTGTGGATGGAGAACAACTCAACATGCAGTTTAAAAAGTAAATTGATATTTTATAAGCATGTTAAGTTGACACACAGCTAATTGGGTTGATGGCCAAGCCATAGCTATTATATAATGCAATAATTACTCTTTATGCATGAAGCTACTTAGATACGTATGTATACACATTCAAAATGGATAGTAATGGTTAAAAAGTTATTAAAATATGTAAATTATTAATGTTAAGTGAAAGGATTTTTTGATTAATATATGGTAAAATATAATTCTTTTAATTATCATAAAAGGAATTATAAAAGTTGTTACATATTTTTCATTAAAATGAATTATTTTTAATAAAAAAAAAATTTACTTTTTAATAATTAAATACCACTTAATTACTATTACTAACTATTATTAATAATAAATACTCTTTAAAAATAACGAGTCATTATTAATTGATTCGCCGTTCTGACTTATTTTCGGCAGGCAAAAATTCCCAAATTTAAATATTAAATTAAATGAGTTGTTGTAAGATGGTTTAAAAAACTTAGGTACGTTACCCGAAAAAAAAAAAATTAAAAAAAAAAAAATTAAAGTACACGTGACGAGAGTCGACGAGGATGCTACGTGGCGAGAAACGATTGGCGAAGGGTATCCATTAGATCTCGGGCTGTCCATTAATCATGTGACATATCGCATTTAGTGTCACGTGGAAACTGCAAGAATGTGGGCCCACTCGCACAAGCAACTTATACGTGTCATAATGTTCTTAGCTTACACTAAAATCAACGTTCCTTCGGCAGCAAATATGGGATGATGGGACCCCCCCCCCCCTCCCCAACCCATTATCAATTTATTTTATTTTATTTTATTTTAAAGGCAAAAAAGAGCATAGCATTCCATTTCATGTGCTTGCAAATGCATCCCATCTCTACACCTCTCTCTCTCTCTCTCTATATGTATATATATATATATATTATTGTATATTATATGTTACAACTAATTGTTATTTTTCTACATAGAATTTTGAAAAACATCAGCGACATGTAGCCAAAGTTCAAATGATTTGTAATTTTTTGAATGTAATATAAATATGAAAATATAATTTTTAAATGGAAAATAAAATTATTCTTTTGTGAGTTTATCATAGTTAACCAAAAGGAGATCTTGTTAATTAATTAAATTTACGCCTACCATTAAATTTAATTATTGAATTGTATGTCTAAACAAAAAAAAAATGTTAATATAAGCTCGAGATTATAATATTAATACTACTTATAACATTAATTATAAAATATCATTTTTTATAATTAAATATTAATATCAAAAAATAGTAATTTAAAATTATAATTTAATTATAAGGATAGTGATGTTTATAAATTTTTAACAAAGAATGTATATATAAAATTAAATATTACATTGATTTTAGATTCAATATGATTCTACGAAAGTAATTGCAATTCTAAGGAGATCATGACCATAATATTATAGCAATATACTCAAGGATATATACAGAATGGACCAAGCACTATATTGAATTAAAGGTATGAGAAGTAAGGAACGATCTAATCAAAAGAGAGATTTAGTTAGAGAGTCAATTATTATGTCAAAAATACAAAATTTTCAAATATAAAAAATACGAGTAAACCCTAATCATGCTAGCTGAGTGAATAAAAAATGAACATTTGAGAGAGTTGCTTAAAGCTAAGTGCAAGGTGAAGCAAAATAAAGGCTCACTGCTCCTTTAGGATTCGTAGGATATCGCGCATATATGGTTGTTGGCCAGTTATGGCTTTCACACAAGTGACATTTTGCTTGGTTTTATAGAAGGTGTATTGTTATAATAAATGGATAGTGTATAGAATTTTATTCTACATTAACTGTTGTATTGCATATTCTGATATGATATGTATATAACATTGTGTTATTTTAACGTAAACTGAGTAAATACGATTATATTGTACTAACAATATCAGAAATTTTAAAAAAATTGATATGTATGGTTAATCGAAATTATTTCAATAAAATGAAAGTTACTCATTTTTTAGAGAGATTGTCCTAGTAGTTTTAAAATTTTAAGAGACGAACGATTATGTTAAGAAATGTTTAAGTGTATATATATATATATATTTATTGGTGGTGCTTTTAGTTACTTATGAATTTGCAATAGTAATAAAAATATCTTAAAAAATTAAATTTATTTATTGGGTATATTTTTTTTTTGAATACTTTAGTTAAAAATTTATTGGCCGACTTTGTACTCGACAAGACAAGCCTTTGACAGTTGAATTTTTTTTTTTTTTGGTTAGGTTGGGGGGTTGAACTAATAAATAGCAACCAGAAAATGTGGTTCAAAATTATTTTACAATGAATGGGTGGGAGTATCCTGTTTAGATGGAGACTCCTTAATTATATTGAATATAAATTAATCCTAATACTCGAACCAATCAAGTTACTGAATGGATTAATTGTCATCTCATTGAAACCCACATACTGCTCG